AGTCTGGCGGGTTGGGGCACTGCTTTTCTGTGGACATAGCAGCTCCCCCATTCCTCCCTATTGGACTTGCTCTGTCATCTCACAGGGCTGAGTGTTCTGATCACGACCCTGTGGTTAGGATCAACCCTGTTAAATGTATTTCTCGCCTCTGTATTTTCCTCATTTCTTCTCTTGGACCCCTTACCCCCCACCCAAATGATCTGCATCTCAGTGACCGTGTGGTGCAGCTCCACAGAAGATGGACGATACACACTTTCGCTGTTGCTCACATTTTATGGTTAACTGCCTGGAGTTCTTTAAAGTTCTTTTCATAGCAATTGAAGGCTGAAGGGCACACAGAAATCACCAACTCAATTCTGTCAACATTTGCTGAGTGTCCGTTTTCTGTGTTAGGCCCTGGGAGCTGGAGCTTATCTTAGGCAAATATATGGCGGGGAAAATATGTGTTTTCTAGATTCTTGATATTCAAAATGAGGTCTTCGAGGCCAGGCATGGTGGCTTCACCTGTAAGTCCAGCCCTTTGGCAGGCCAAGGTGGGCGGATCACCTGAGGTTAGGAGTTCAAGACTGGCCTGGCCAGCATGTGCAACCCTGTCTCTACTACAAGTGCAAAAAATTAGCCAGGCGTGATGGCTTGTGCCTGTAATCTCAGCTACTCCAGATTCCGAGGCAGGAGAATTCCTTAAACCCAGGTGGTGGAGGTTGCAGTGAGCTGAGATCGTGCCGGTGTACTCCAGCCTGGGAGACAGAGTGAGACTCTGGTTTAAAAAAAAAAAATCTCTGGACCAGCAGCAGTGACCTTGTTACCTAGGTGAGTGTTAGAGATGCAGGATGTTGCTGGACTGGCTCACGCTTGTGATCTCAGCACTTTGAGAGGTTGAGGTAGGAGCATCACTTCAGCCCAGGAACTCAAGACCAGGCAGGGCAACACAGTGAGACCCTGTCAGGAAAAGAAAAAAAGAAACGCAGAAAGTCAGGCCCCACCCCAGGCCTTACTGTCTCTGAGTCTGCGCTTTAACGAAGCCCCCAGCTGAGCTGTAGACACAGTAGTGTTAGAGGTACTGGAATGTTCTCAGTCTCTGTAGAGAGATGGAGGACAGATACTGAGATGTTACTGCTATTCTCCCTTCTACACCCATGGCAGGTGTCATTAATCAAACAGGATACTTTTCCCCAGTGATTCCTGTCTAAATGTCCAAACCTTTCTCAGCACAGTGTTACAGATGTTTGTCCGAGTAGGCACTCGAGGTCAAGTTGAGCTGCTTTACCTTCTCTCCAGCACAGAACATGACAGCAGCAGTATCCTGTGCGTTCTCTGCTTCCACTCTGGCCTCTCTTCCTCTGTTCTTCACAACACAGAGTTTTCTTTTAAAAACACAGATATGCTCAGGATATTTTCTTGCTTAAAACCCCTCAGTGACTTCCCATTGCAATTAAAATGAAATCCAGGCCGGGCGTGGTGGCTCAAGCCTGTAATCCCAGCACTTTGGGAGGCTGAGGCGGGTAGATCACGAGGTCAACAGATTGAGACCATCCTGGTCAACATGGTGAAACCCCGTCTCTACTAAAAATACAAAAAATTAGCTGGGCATGGTGGCGCATGCCTGTGATCCCAGCTACTCGGGAGGCTGAGGCAGGAGAATTGCCTGAACTCAGGAGGCGGAGGTTGCGGTGAGCCGAGATCGTGCCTTTGCATTCCTGCCTGGGTAACAAGAGCGAAACTCCGTCTCAAAAAAAAAAAAAAAAAAAAAAAAAATGAAATCCAGATGCCTTACCATGACCTTCCCGACCAACCCTGCCTGATTTGACCCTGCCCACCTTTCCAACCCTGTCTGGTGCGCCGCTCCCCTCCTATGCTATTCTCTGCCTGTGTCACCTCATTTCAGTTCCTGGAACATGACATGCTTTTCTGGCCTCAGTACTGGTCAGACTTAAGTCACTGTCTCTTGAGTCTCCCCACTGTTCATGTGAAAAACCTAGGGGCACAGAGACTTGATCTGCCTGAGGCCACGTGGGGAGTCAAGAGCCAGAGGAACGTCATTGCAAAGCTGGAGATGTGGGGTGGCCTGCCTCCCCGCCGTGACCACACGAGGGAGCCTCCACTGAGTCTTCTGACTCCTGCCGATCTATCTAAGTCCACTTCTCTCCCAACCCTAAGTGCCTTGCAAGCTAGCTTACCCTCATTCCTTAGCGTGGATGTTGGACTTGGCACCTCCTCAGAGAGCAATTCCCTTTGAAGAATGGTGTTTTTTTTTAAAGACTGTCACCTGATGTTCTAAAAAAAAAAAAGTCAAGGAAGATACTTCATGTGTTCCTCAGATATCTACCGTCAAAGGGGTTTACCTCACGCTTGGAGTAGGGTAGAAGGTTGCTGTTCTTTGGGTAGTTTTGCCTTCAGCCAAGTCAAAAGGGATGAACTGAGCTGATGCTGAGGTTACTGTTGCCGTCCTACCTGTACCGGTCAACTGTGCTTGCACCTAGGTGGCTCAGGCAGCTCAGTTCTGTTTCATACTGGTCTGGTTGGACTTAATAGGTAATTCAGAGGATCTGGTTTCATTCTTTCCAGGACAGGGTTCAAACTTTTTCTATAAAAGGCCGGGTAGTAAATATTTTTGGCTTTGTTGGCCAGATGGGTCTCTGTCACAACTACTCAGTCCTGCTGTCATAGCAGCCATAGACATGTATAAATGAATGGGTTTGGCTGTATGCCAATAAAATTTTATTTACAAAAACGTGTGAGCCCAGATTTAGCCTCAGGGTCATAGTTGGTACACTCCTGTTCTAGGAGTGTTGAAACCAAAACAAAGAAAATGTAAAAGACAGCTTTGATTAGTTGTCCAAATTTGCTTGCAAACTGTCCGGAAAGATGGCACCTTAAGCTGGTCTTTAGACTCAGGAACTTGTTCTTAAACTTGAGAAACGTCACTGTGTCTGACTTCCTGTTTGGGCAGAGTAAAACCAGAATTTATCAGTAGCAGAAAATAGCCTGTAGTTTTCAATTAGACGATCACATTCTCTTCATTAGCAACCCATCTGCTGGGCCCACAGTAGTACTGAGGAAAGGTGCCTTTGTTAAACAGTAGCAGGATTGCAAAGTCCAAACTAACCCTCTTGCTTTAGTGACAGCTTGTTTGTGGAAACTGGACCATTCTGCAAATGAGTTCATCAGTCTTGCCTAAATACTGAAAGGACCTGTTCAACATTAGGGGAAATGCCAGTGTATTTTGAGACAGATCAAACGAAGCTGCAAGTAGACAAATTTTAGCATTTGTTTTTTAACTAATGAGCAGATGGTAGGCCTTGAATGCCCCAAATGCTTATCTTTGAGTTAGGTTGTGGAGAAAATAGGGAAACCAAATCCAAAGTGAATACATTAATGCTACTCCATCATCTAGAAATGATTTGGGCTGCAAGCTGCAGTTATAACTCTTAAGAATAATTTTTTTCCCTTGTAATAGTTGTATTTATTTATTTATTGAGACGGACTCTCTATCACCCAGGCAGGAGTGCAGTGGCATGATCTCAGCTCACTGCAGCTTCTACCTCCCAGGTTCAAATGATTCTTCAGCCTCAGCCTCCCACGTAGCTGGGACTATAGGCATGCACCACCATGCCTTGCTAATTTTTATATTTTTTATTACAGTTGGGATTTCACCATGTTGGCCTTGCTGGTCTCAATCTTGTGACCTCAGGTGATCCTTTCACCTAGGCCTCCCAAAGTGCTGGGATTATAGATCTGAACCACTGTGCCATGCTGGTAACAAGTCATTTAAAGGTTCAACTGTCTCATTAGGATATGAAGGCACAGGTTGATTAAATAGGATGCAAAGGTCTCTGGATTGGATTCTAAAACAGTCCCTTTCTACCATACCATCCCAGCTCACTAGGGAAAATGAGGAAACAGAACTTCCTTTAAAAGACTTTCCCCCTCTATAGACACTTTCTTAGAAACATAGTTGAGGCTGGGTTCACTCCTGTAATCCCAGTGCTTTGGGAGGCCGAGGTGGGCAAATCACAAGGTCAGGAGATCAAGACCATCCTGGCCAACATGGTGAAACCCCCTCTCTGTTAAAAAAAAACAAAAATTATCTGGGTGTGGTGGTGCGTGCCTGTAGTCCCAGCTACTTGGGAGGCTGAGGCAGGAGGATGGCTTCAACCTGGGAGGTGGAGATTGCAGTGAGCCGAGATTGTGCCACTGCACTCTAGCCTGGCAACAGATCGAGACTTCATCTCAAAAAATGAAACAAAATTAAAAAACAAAACATAAACTCCTGCTGTGCATACAGTGTTGTGTGTTGTTTTTTTCTCACTTAATCGTCTATCTCAAAGCCTCTTCTATCATTTATGTGGACTGTATTGCTCTAATTTATAACAACTGTGTGATATTCCAGCTAGAGGATAGACCAGAGTTCTAGTCAATTTCAAATTGTTGGGCCTTCCCCTGCTACCACTGGCTTAAATAGCTGTTAATTGGCAGTGTGCTGGAAAGGGTGATGGAGTTAGCATTCACAGATGACACCGCACACCACTGTGATAAGGAAGGCAAGAGCATGGGCAAGCCAGCCTGGAGCCCTGGAGTAGGAGGCCCTCTCTACAAGAGAATGTGGGAGGGGGTGGGGCCTGGAGTGTTGGAGGCAGCCTGGGAACACCTGCACTTGGTAGGCATGGTTAGAGATGAAGACGGACTTGCTGGCAGCAGCCCCGGTCTGACTGGTTGGGGGGTACTTTCCTTGACAGGCGAGGCTGTTGACCAGGGTGTGCTTGATGTACTCCTCCTGCGCTGCTGCCTTGTTTTCCTTCTTCCTGCCCCAGACCTTCAGGGCAGAGGTCTACAGGACTCGGCCCTAGGAGAAGGGCAGGGCCCTGTGCTTCAGCAGGGGGCACTTGTTAGTGGCCCTGAGGCTGATGGACGCCTTCTCCTCACTCTGGCCTCCAGAAAGGAAGGTGATCCCGGGGGCAGCACGGGGAACTGTGCGCGCAGTGCTGTGACAGTTGCCTCGTGAGAAAACTTCTGTGATCAGGTGTGGCCTGGCGTAACCATGTTGGGCTTCAGCAAGGTGCCTTCCAGGTAGATGTGGTGGTCTCTCAGAGCCTTGTAGACAGCAGCCAGCACCTTCTCGGTCACATACTGACAGCGCTTCAAGTCATGGTCCCCATCAGGGAGGATTTCAGGCTCCACAATGGGCACAATGCCATTTTGCTGGTAGATGCTGGCATAACGGGCCAGGACGTTGGCATTTTCCATGATGGCGAGGGTTGAGGGGGTGTGTTCCCCAGTCTCCAGCACACAATGCCACTTGGCGAAGTCAGCGCCATCCGTCTTGTACTGGGCACAGCGCTCAGCCCATCCAGCCCTTGGGTGGTGGTCTTACATTTGTCCCTGCCAGGGGGACCACGCCCTTGTCTACCTTGATGTCCACAACACCGCCCTTGGATTTGATAACTTGGGGGAAGGGACACCCATCATCCCCCTTCTGGTAGAGTGTCTCGTGGAAGAGAATGACGCCCCCGATGCAGGGGTTCATGCGGTTATCAGCTCTCAGCAGCAGCTGGTGGTAGAAGCACCGCTTCCCCTCAGTGTTCTCGGTGCCAATTGACTGCAGCCGCTTGGCAGAGCTCCCAGTGGACTCATCTGCAGCCAGGATGCCCTTGCCTAGGGCCACAATGCGGTGAGCGATGTCAGACAGCTCCTTCTTCTACTCGGGGGTCAGCGCTGGGTATTGGTAGGGCATCGTGCTGGTGGTAGCAAGTTCCGGTGCTTCAAAGGAAATTTCTTCCTTGGAAATTCAGACAGAGGCCCTTGGTTGTCAAGAGAAATAAATCTCTGGACATGGATCTGTCAGAGGGAAAGGGGTGAGGGACAGGCCTTTTTAAAAAAACTGTTACTATCCTGCAAAATGCTGCAGGGAGTGCTGTTTATGTACAGAATTTCCCTACATTTGTAGTTATTTTGGGGGATGTGGTCTGGTAAGCTGAATTGCCTAATGAAGTGCTAAGGTTTTTTGGACTTCTATTTTGGATTTCCATGTTGCTCACCTGGACTGTGGCCATTTGAAAGTGTCACCAGCAAGCAGGACCTGTTGGCTACTCTCACCAGCATTCATGGGTATTGACATTAGAACTCCTGTAGGCAAAAACCTAGCTGGTTATATTTGTAATTCATGAGTTGCTGTGGAGATAAAATACTTTTTTCCTGTGTTTATAAATCAGATTTCTTTTTGGTGAATTGTCAGCTCATTTTTTTGTCCTGTGTATTTCAAGGATTTTTCCTCTGGGCTGTGTGAGGGCTTGGTATCAATAGATGCTGGCCCTTTGTTTTAGTGGGTTCGTAAGTTCTCATGTCTGGGAGTAGTCACGAACTTTTTTGGTTATGTGCCCCTGTTAAGGTTTTTAGCAGTTGTTCTGATTTAGGCACTTGGACAGCCCATATTTTGAGGATGGAACCTTCAAGTGTTTGTTTGAGGACACTTTAAAGGGCTTGTGGACATTAAAGGAGAAGATGCGCTTGTAAGCCGTGTTAGTAGATGTGGTTTAAATGCTCAGGTTGGCTGGAAAGGTGGCTCACACCTGTAACCCCAGCACTCTGGGAGGCTGAGGTGGGAGGATCACTTGAGTCCAGGAGTTTGAGACCAGCCTCACCAACATGGTGGAACCCTGTCTCTGTGAAAAATACAAAAATTAGCTGAATATGATGGCATGCACCTGTAATACCAGATACTCGGGAGGCTGAGGCACGAGAATTGTTTGAACTCAGGAGGTGAAGGTTGCAGTAAGCCGAGGTTGCGCCACTGTATTCCAGGGTGGATGACAGAGTGAGACTGGGTCTCAGACAAACAAAGAAACAAGTAAACGTTTGAATCATGGTTTACGTTTCCTTTGTTAAACAAAAGAAGAGTTTTGGTTTTTAATGTTTCGTGGGCTTCATGGTGGAGTAGTGGAAACATTGGGGTTCTGGCTATTCATGAGAGTGTGATTCTCCCCAAAGCCAACAAGGACCTTTTCTTTTTCTTTTTGAGACAGGGTTTCACTCTGTCACCCAGGATGGCTGCAGCCTAGGGAGTGACTTTGGGGAGAAAATGTCCCCTTGAGGGGCCTGGAAACGAGATGACACACAGAAGTCAGCAAAGATTGATCCTTCTAAATATTATCCTGTGGAGACACCTCTGTGCTCACTTGCAGCCTCAACACTGAGTTCACAACTCACCCAGTGTGGGCTTGGAGGGGCATGGAGGCTGGTAGGGGGAGGTGGTCTACCCTCAGCTTGTCCTCTCAAGCCCCAGCCTGGCAAGTTGTAGTCTTGGGAGATTGAAACCCCGATCCTCACATTCTGGATGAGAGATGGAAGATCAGCTTGGTTTGCTGGAAATGCCTCCTTCATCTTTGTCTTCATCTTCCTATTCCTCCTCCTCCCCACTTCTTCTCCCTCTTCCTCCCTCCTCCCTGTAAAAACATGGAGTCAGTCCAGGTAGCCGTCAGTGGTAGACTGGATAAAGAATATGCAGTACGTATGCACTGTGGAATACTATACAGCCATACAAAGAAATTGTGTCCTTTGCAGCAATATGAATGCCACTGCAGGCCATTATTCTAAGCAAATTAGTGTCCCACCAGGAAACCAGATATTGCGTGTTCTCACTTACAAGTGGGAGCTAAACACTGGGTACTCCTGGACATAAAGATGCTAACAGTAGACACTGGGGGGCTACTTGAGGGGGAGGAAGGGAGGAGCAGGGGTTGAGAAACTACCAGTTGGGTACTATGATGGGATCATTTATACCCCAAACCTCAGCTAATGCAGTATACCCATGTAACAAACCTGCACGTGTACCCCCAAATCTAAAATGAAAGGTGAAAAAAATACATACAAATAAATTATATCTCATTTATTGAGATATAATACACATGCCATACTATTCACCTATTTAGTGCATGATTTGGCGATTTTTAATATATTCATAAAGTTGTGCCTCCCAAGTCCCAGCCTGGCAAGTTATAGTCTTGGGAGATTGTGTGTCTCCACAATCCATTTTAGAACATTTTCCCTCCCTCACTAAGAAGCCCATTTCTGTGTGCACTCACTCTCCAGACCCCAGGGCCTGGCAAGCCCCATTCTGCTTTCTGTCTCTGTGGATGTGCCTTTTTTGGACGCTTCTTATCAGTGGAGTCATACAGTGCATGGTGGTTTGTGATAGCTTTGTTTGACTTAGCATAAGTTTTTTCAAGGTTTATTTATATTGAAGCATGAATCAGGATGGCATACTTTTTATGGTAAAAAACATTTCACTCTAAGGATATGCCACATTTTGTTTACCCTTTCATTAGTCAATGGGTTTCACTTTCTGGTTATTATAAATAATGTTGCAATGAACATTTGTGTACAAGCTGTGTGGACATGTTTTTCATTTCTCTTGGACATAGACCTAGGAGCGGAATTGCTGGGTCAAAGCGGCTGTACTTTCCCACTGGCAGTGAATGAAGCTTCCAGTTATTCTAATGTTTCCTCACCAAGCATTTGTTATTGCCTGTCTTTTTTTATTGTAAACATCTGAGTGGATGTGAAATGGTATCTTCACATTTGCCAGTCAGTGGTTTAGATTTGCATTTCCCTGATGGTTGATGGTGTTGAGTATCTTTTCATGGACTTACTGACCATTTATAAATCTTCAAAAGATGTATTTTCGTGTCTTTTGTTCATTACTTAATTTGTTTAGTTGTGTTTTTTATTGTTGAGTTGTATGAGTTCTTTGTGTATTATGGATACTAGACCCTTAACAGAGATATGTGATTTATATATATATTTTTCCCATTCAGTGAGTTTCATTTTCTTGATGGTGTCCGTAAAGCATACATGTTTTTAGTTTTGTTGAAATTGAATTCATCTGTTTTTTCTTTAGTCATGTGTACTGTTGGCATCTTATCCAAGTTTGTTTTTAAACCAGTGTTACTGTTAATTTTATGCCTCAAAATGATTTGCTATTAGAGATGAAATGCCGTTGGCTTCAGGCCAGCGGTTCTGGGGGTCGATGGATGGAGAGTTGTTCATTCCCTGCTGAGTGGATGTATGATGGGTTGACGACTTCCTGTTTGGTTCTCAGCTCCCTACCTTAAATGTGGCTCTCATTCTATTCCGCGTGTGTTTCTCTCTCTTCCTCTGCTTCCTCCTTCTCTTCCCCTGAGTGTGTGTATGTCTACTTCTCTCCCTCATTTCTTCCTTCCTCTTTTGCCTCTTTTTCCTTCTCTGTCTTTGGCTTGGTCTCTTTCTCTTGGAATCGCTCTCTGTCCTGCCCTAATTTTGTCTCTTTTTTCATTTTCCTTTAATGTTTTCTTCTAAGCTGTTCACCTTATCAGATGACCTTTGCAGTTAGTCAGAAACAGGCTAACTTGCTCACTCTTTGTTTCCTTTGTCTCTCTCTGATTGTCTCTGGTGTTGAGTAAGTTTAGGGAAGATAAGCACAAAATGTCGAGTTCCCCTTCACCAGCGTGCCCCAGAGTTGGCAGAAGTCACTCAGAGACCAGCTAGTGCCAGGCATCCTGCAGTGCTCATGTTTCTAGCTTGCTGTGTGAGGCTGTCTCCTGGGCTCGCAGTACTTAATTTGAAATCTGGTTAGGAAGCTGCAATGATCCATTTTCACATTCAGAGGTACATTTTTGGCATGTCGGTTGGGAGCAGTGCAGGCAGATTTTTTTCTGTGCACTACTGCTCGAGTTTGTCAGGAGTTTTATTATGGAAATCACTATTTCTGCTTTCCATTTTCCCAAGTTACTTTTCTGTATTGATACATTTTTACCTGCGTAACACTGGGATATTTTTCAGGGTTCTTGCTTTTCGACTCAGTGGCAAGACTCAAAATAACACGGAGGAAAGAAATGAAAACTTCTGGGTTAAAAAAAGACTTGCATCCATATTTCCTTCAATGAAAGGAAACTTCATCAGTGTTTTGAACAGAAAAGTTAAACACAATAAAAAGTGGATGAAAGCATGGGTTGTAAATTGGGTATGTGTGTGTGTATGTGCGTGTGCTTGGGGTGTAGATTCTGACATAAAAATCACACTTCTTTTGGCAGTGTATGGAAACTCTAGGAAACTGAATGGTAACAGGTGAAGATTCAGAAATAAATAGCAATTTAGGGATTACTGGAAAAGTACAGTTTTCTGTTTCTGTAGGACTTCTTTCTGCTAGAATCGGGGCAGAATAAATGTTTCTTAAAACTTTCCTTCTCTCTCTCTCTCTCTCTCTCTGTCTCTCTCGCTCTGTCTCTGTATCTCTGTGTCTCTGTGTCTCTCTGTCTCTGTCTTATATATGCTGCTCCTGGTGCATAGGTAGCCCAGAACTGCTTTATATATTTATTTCCCAATACTATGGGTTTTGATTTAATATCTCTGTTTTCCCACATCAGTCTGACATAAATCTCATTAAATATGCATCCACAGTTGCTCCAAGAGTTAGCACATCGTCTGGTTGAACCAAAAGACTGAACCGAAGAGGGAAATGCAGTCATTGTTAGTCTTCAAGGATTTATTTTCAAAGCCTTCATTTGAAGACCCGTGGGGAGACTGAGGAGGGTATGGGCGACGGGAGAAGTCAGTGGTCTTGAGCCATCTGTTGAGGGTGACCTCTTTACTTTTGTACTTTCATTTCTTGCTATTCTTCTTCTTGTACTTTATACCACAGCAATGCTGAACTCCTTGGGATTACGCAAGGATATTATTTGCTGCAATGGTTGGTGCCTT